TTTCTCTCTATGAAACACATTTAAAGATAATATATAGGTGGTATATGGTTCCGGCTAGACTATATAAAATATCATCTGTACATTCTTAGAATTGTTGGAGATGTGGAAATGAGGAGGGCACTATTTATCATATATGGTGGGAGTGTCAGAGTCTCGATAATATAAAAATTCAAATGCTTGGCCTTATTAATTCTATTTTTAAGAAGATAAAAGTAATTAGCCCTCAACTTTTTCTCTTTAACATTGGTTTCCCTTCGCAAGATAAAAACCAAAAATATCTTTTGACCCATATATTTTTTGCCATTAAAATATGTATAGCTAGGGCTTGGAAATCTTCTGTCCCATTAATATGGCACAATATTATGGAGCAAATAAAGTATCAGTACAGAATGGAATCAAACCCCTTTTTTGGCATTAGAGATGTGGCCAAACTTTGGATACCCTGGACAAATAGACAAAATTTATGATAACAGATTGTGGTTCCCCCCATATCGAGTCTCAGAGAATGCAATTTATTTGTATTATAATTTCATTTTTTTATTTTTTGTATCTATTTGTATGTTTATCAATGTGACAGCTATACCAATTAAATTTTTGGTGTCAATTCCTTTTGATAGCGATTGGCAGTGGACAAATGTAACGTGATTGAAATATACATCATGTGTACGATGGTTTCAATGGAAACACTGTATTTTATGTGGAAACATTCGGTGTTTAATTTTACACAGTGCCTATATTACAATATATTGCCAGCCTATCTATGCTTTTAGCAGTTACATTGATGTTTTTTTTGTTTGTTTTTCTTTTTCTTTTCTGTTTGTTTGTCTAATTTTTGCTGTTTTTTTTTTTTTCTTAACATTTATCTTTGTATCTGGTTGTCTTAATGTGCTGGAGGATTGCCTTTGGGGTACCTCACATGCAAATGTTAAAAATTTCATATAATAAAAATAAAAAAATATATATATAAAAAAAAAAAAAAAAGTGCAAAAAAAGATATGCTGAAAATAAAAAATTCCCGACGCTAAAAATATAAACCTTCTTTCCCCAGCGAGGGCACGGCGCAGAATGAGCTCCGCAGGGTAGGAAAGGCTTATAAAGCCTGCCCACGCCCTGCAATTAGGCTTAGAGCTCTCTGATTGGTTGGTTGAGCTGAAGTGGTCTGGGTGCCAGTAGTGGTCTGGGTGCTCATAGTGACCCCCCTACTGATTTAAATTTAGTTTTAAATGACAGCAAGCAGAGATTGGCTGCTCGCTGTTTAGGCGACATGCCCCTACCTCCCTTTTATTAATATGAGGGTCATAGTGACCCCCATAGGTATTAATGCGGGTAGGAATGTTTTTTTACAAGGAGGGAGCTGGTAGCGCTGCCGGCTCCTTCCTTGTTTTTTTTTTTTTTTTTATTGCAGATGCGCAGTGATATTTGTTCTAAAATAAACAAAAAATTAGAAAATTTGTACAAAACAAAAATTTCACTATTAGCCAGTGACTCATTCTGTTGGAAAAGTTGCTTAGTGACCCACTCTTAAATTTGTATATAACAGAGTACAGCATTTCAACTGAGTAAGATGCTGACCCAGAATCCTTTATGTCTTTGTAGGGGCAGAGCTAGTTATTCTGAAAACACATGGTAATAGTATTTATAGTCATTGGCTGACTGGCTCTTAAAGAGTTAAAATAATACTCTCAATGAAAGACCTAACAGTGACCTGTTCACATTCAATCAGTAGTCATGCATGCTATGTGCTTGCGTGCAGCAATTGTACACTGACATTAAAAGTCTTTATCATAATAACTGTGCTACTAGGAAATATTGGTAAACAGAACCCAAGACACCATCGCATAACATCAGCATTATATGCCGTAAGGCAAACTATAGTAAGAGAGAATTTACAGGTGACATGTTCAATTGTCCTGAAATTATTCTGCTTGGAAAATTACCTTGAATTTATTGAAATTTGCCTCTTCACGAATTCCAGTTTTCTAACCTTCTTTTTTGACTTGAATAAATCTGAATATTTTTTTCGTGTCTGTGTGTGTGCGCATGGGTGTATGTAAGATACATGGGTACCAACATATTATTAATTGATGCGTGCAGCTCTTTTTGTATTGAATAATTATCTGTGAGATAGATAACGTGTGTTATCAACTAGTCTACTTAGAAAGAGGATATAATATATCCTGGCACTTGGCTCGGAGCTAAAATGTCTTCATTTTCATAGCCCGGTGTCTGAGTCATAATCAACATAGGCCTAAAACACGTCTGACATAGCCAGCACTCAGAGACCCATAAAGCTGTCTAACAGGAATGAATAATACTTCAAGACAATATCCTAAAGAAAGACAAAGAAGACAAGCTTGGATCTGACAACAGAACTCGCAGAAATATTCATCCATTAACAGAAGACAATTCCCACATGAACTCTAGGCCTCAAGATATTGGTGTTATATGAAAATATCTATATTAAAAGAGGATTGAAAGGAGAAAAATGTTTGGACATTTCCTTGATAAAACTCTTATCTGTCTGTCTGTCTGTCAATGTGTCTGTCTACCTACCTACCTATCTAATCCGCAATTAATCAGCAGGTCAAATTTATTTATTTGTAAAAGAGCAACTGACCATCACTCCTTAATTCAGTGTATGTGTTGACGCATGATAGATAGATAATGATAGATAGATAGATAGATAGATAATGATAGAGATAGATTAAAGGGAAACTAAAGTCACCAGAACAATTACAGATTAATGTATTTGTTCTGGTGAGTATAATCATTCGCTGCAGGCATTTTAATGCAAACACTGCCTTTTCAGAGAGAAGGCAGTGTTTACGGGGCACCAACACTGGCCACTTCTCAGATGGCCACTGGAGGTGCTTCCTGGGGCAATGCTGCACAATGTGCAGCACTGCCATTCAGTGTCTCCACACTCTGCATGGAGACACTGAATTTTCCTCATAAAGATGCATTGATTCAATGCATCTCTTTGAGGAGGTGCTGATTGTCCAAACCGGCGTTTGGTCTCCCACCAGCCCCGCTTCTTTCTGATTTAAGCCAATCCAATGCTTTCACTATAATGTCAGTGCTCCCAGCCTCCTCCAGAATTCTATACCTATCAGGAGTGCTAGCACTTGGCATTTCTGATGGGGTAGGGAAATCTGACAGAAAACTGCCTCTGTTCTAGGAAATGAAAAAAGTTTGTTATAAAAAACGTTTGTGATGAGAGCAAAATCTGACAAAACTTCTCTCTGACGATTTTAAAATTTAAAATATAATGCTGTGGTTCACCTACTTGTCATTAAAAAAAATACATCTTGGGCATTCCAATTCAAATTTATACGTAAGTGTGTGGATAGAGAGATAGATAGATAGACAGATAGATAGAGAGATAGATAGAGGACATACTTGCTATTTGATAGCTGTTGTGTGAGTGAGAGAGCACAGATCTCACTTGCTTTCGCCCTCTTGTGGCTGTCTTCAGGTATAGCTTCAGCCTGACGCCCAATTTATCAGGAATTGCATACACATCACAATTGTTTACATAAGTAAGCGCTAACAACTCGGCTTGCTGAAAATATTATAGCAAGATGGAATGTAAAAGCCTACTGGATGCCACCTGTAGTGAATATATTTACATGTTTCTGATTAATAAGCGACTCTGGCTCTTTCAAACCATGAGGGTAAATACTCAAACGTTACTTGCTTTTTCAGTGAGAAAGGCCATGAATTAGGAAAAAAAACAAACACATAATGAGATGTGCAGTAGAAAGAAGAATGTTATCACTGAATTCAAAGTTGCATTTCTATTGGCTGCTTGGAGGGTTCTACCAGTTAGACTAAAGCTAAAATTCACATGACGTTCTATGATCAAAAAATAATGTAAATGTATGATATACAAAGGGCAGCTAAGCCCAGCTCTAACCCCCAATTAGAAATGACCAGCAGTTTCTCTGTGTTATCTAACAGGGTTCTTATTTAAGTCAGTGACGTCTGCTGTCTACAAATTAATATGGAGAACGTAATTCCACTTTGAAGCATCAGATTATCCTTTACTTCTATTTCCCACCATAATCCGTGGCTCATATTTGGTACCAACCAGTACTCCAGACCTTCTGCCAACCTTGGAATATTCCAACTGTGTGTTTAATTTATTCTGGCCTTGCACACCATCAACTGTAAGAAAGACCTCCATTTTCTCTATTAACTTACTGCAAGCTCTGAGATAGTTAGGGCAGCTTTGAAGACACAGATGTACCATTATTCTGCCTTTTGGTTTACATGCAATTTTTATTGTATTCTGTGTATGCAGTCTATTATTATTTACTGTGATTGTGGTTTTTAAAAAAAAAAAATTATTTTATTTATAGGTAGACAGTCAGGCAATTGCGTGGTCGGCCCAGCGTCCACAATGCTTTATGACAAAAGATAACAGTGTGCGTAATCAAGTTATACAGAGTTTGACAGTATACTTGTAACCTTAGTGGTATTATTTAATTATACATGAGTTAAGTTGCTTGTTCCATGTTGTTAGTGCCACCTTCGCTCTGACCGTCCATTTTCGATTTTTATATAAACAGACGTTGGAACATTAAAGAGTTAGATAGAAAGTAAAGTAGGAAGCAGGTTTGTATTAGTAACCAACAACAGGGTCATCTCCTTGAAGTCTGGGCATATGACCTTGAGGTTTCCCTGAGGGTGAGAAGGAAGACACTTTCGTATTCTCCCATTTTCATACCCCTGAGTCCCATGTGCTAAGAGGTGCCACTACCTCCACCAGGGAGTCTGAGAGTTAATTGATTTAGTGGCATTAATATTAGGAATTGTGGTTTTTTTGAAAATCGATTGGACTAACTCTTCTTTGTCCATACTCCACAGTCCCCAGAGGACCAGGATTGGCCAAGGGATCTTAGCCAGTTCCTGGTTGTTACTCTACTGCAACAGAGAATCATTAAGCAATGAGTATATTTATTTAATATTAAATCTTACATTTTATTTTTAAATTGATGCTGTAATTTATTACTCAATATGCCAGTGAAACCGGTTTCTACATTCAATACATTTAAGTCTTCTAGAATACACATGTATCGTTTAAGAAATCTATAAGGAGAATCTTGTGCATTGCTTTTTTTGTTTTTGCTATGCTTTTATGTTATTAGTAACACTACTCAATGTATCTACAGGATAATACAGGGTTTATTTAAAGTATAAAACATCTCATTTAAATGAATCAGGAAAACATTTAGACACATTAATAAAAACATCTAATGATATTACTATTCCGGGTACCAGTAAATGTAATATTGTTACTGTATATCATTGTAGGCATCAGTGATTCTGCTAGCTTCATTATATTGCATTTGCTGGCTCATTTTGTTGTGCACGTGCCCTGAAATAATTGACTTTTTGTGTTTGCCTGCTCTGGTACAATGTGACATTTGTTGTCTGCATACAAGTCCAATAGTCTCGCTTGATAGTACCCGCACAGCTCCTCGTGGACACACAGTGATAATTATACACATTCACATGGCATACAATAACACTTTATTAAAGAGCAGATACAGTACCAAATACAATAACATAAATATACAAAAACAGACAAATCTTAGATTTATCATTATTACAGTACATAAAAGTTATTCATCTACATAAAATTCCTGAGATTTGCAAATGTAAGCACAAACCTTCAAAATACTAATAATGTGTGTTATACAGTAATTGTAATATATCTGAAGTCAGACAGTACAATGGTGAAAAAACACATAGACTGTTACCAAAGGAATGTCAAATATGCAGCAAACAGTGAATTTGGAAAACACGTCTATAAAGGCAAATAATTTGAAGTATTGTGTTTTTTTTTTTAATGTTTTATGTTTTTTTATTTCTTCCAATATTTATGCGACTCTAACATCACATGCAAAATGTAATTATTTAACAACCAATGATAGTCCATGGCATCTTTGCAATCTAGTTCTTAGAGACCACTCATTGAATTTCCCTACTCATTTCGCATATTTAGGGCTTTAATGAGCTGCTAATGGTATATAAGTGGAAGCTTGTTTGAGCGGACCCTCAACACCCTCTGTTCCGTTGCATCCAACTCGGATGTTGCAAATACTTGTCTGTTAGTCCACCTATTGTACAGCGCTGCGGAATCCGTTGGCGCTTTTTAAATGAAATTAAGAAGACTGTGCATTGTTGTCATAGCACCTTCAAGCACAAGCTTGTGATGATGGCATGTATAGTTTTTAAGGGATACAGAGAAAATTATTAACAGCTCTTTATCCAGAATAGGAACTTCAATCTATTACTGCTCATGTATACCACTGTCTGTCACCACTTTCCGATCTTCCTGAAAACTATGAAATCACCACTCTAATTTTGTCTCAGTGTCCATCAATGATGACTTGGTGGACAATAACTGTTAGTAACTGTACATTAAAGAAAACAGCATTGGGTTTCACGGCTATCTGCAGAAACTTTATAGAATAGTATATATTGCTGACTAATCAACCATTGTAAAGCAATATGGTAAAATATATTGGTGGAATAAATGGATCTACAGATATAAAAATATATAAGTCAGACTGAGCAAAAAGCAGATTTAAAGGAACGATTCGAAAGTCAACAGGATGCATTATATCTGTTCTCATTGTGGCTTATAGCAATAATTGTTGTTTTAGAATAATAGTCTTAGAGATATATATCTTTATCAATAAGATCGCATGTGCTCCAAAGCATAGTGATGTGATAAAGTGTTAATTGGAGATAGTCTTCTGTACTGTATTACGAAAGATCAGCTGTCACGCACAAACATATCTGTCCTATAATATAAACAAACTCTCCATTATTCATTAATCCTGGAGAGCATTGACCCCAAACAAGCTTTAAACATTATCTAAGCAGCGGGCTACATCCCATAAACAAGGTTATTTGCCAAGTGGAATAAAGAGATTCCAGGAAAACATTAAGCATTTTAACCTTTGACAATGATTACAGATTCCTTACAGGAAAAAGTGTGATTTAAAGGAATCCAGTGATTGAAACTTAACAATTCATCGTGTGTCGGGATGGAACAGTTACTGTATCTCTGACGTTTAGCAGTTTTCACACTTTCATAATTATACCCAAGCTGTGAGCTTTCAATACCTGTTATTAAAGGTAATTAAATATGCTCTAATTAACAGTACCCAAAATACCCTGTTTTTCACCAGACTTGTATCATATTATTATAAACGGTAGCTCACCACGGCCAACAATCGTGCACTTAGAATATAAGGGATAGCACCCAACAATGATGAGACAATGTAAGTAGAAAAAAAAAGATATTTCTACTGCATAAAGTCAAAATAAAAAGATGGACCGCTTCATAAAACTGTTAATTTATTTTCACTAAATTCTGATTCTCTGATTCCATACAATTTATTCTTAAGAAAGGATTAAAACAACAAGTTGACAAGCAGGTAAACACCCAATGCATTTCGCTTTGTACGATTTAATCACAGACTTTGTAAAAGTGCAACTTTTGCTTAAAAATAAATAAATAGCATGCTTTATGAAGCAGCCCATCTTATAGGGATATTCACTAAAGGGATAATTATTGGGAATTCAAAGTAGATTTTAAGGTGCTGAACTAGAGAAAGCTCAAACAGCCGTGCTTACAGTTCATGTACTTTGACCTTAAATTTGAAATTGACTTTGAATTCAAGACAAATCTCACTTTAGTGAACAATTCGGTATGTGTATTAAATGTACCCCATTTAGTATACATCATTTGTAGATAAGAAGCAGCTCTGCAGTGGAGCAACAACTCCAATCACGGTTAGCCAGTCTTTGACCAGCAATCCTAGCCAAGCGACATGGCAGTTGTAGTTCGACAGCAGTAGAAGAGTTACCTGTAGAATGCCCATGTTAAACAGTCTGCAAATGTTGCATATAGCAATGACTTTTTAAGTTAATGTGCATAGTTAATTCCCATAATGCCTAACTTGTCAGGCTATGTGCACACACCAAGCTGTTTCTTGATATATGTTGCAATCAGTTGCTGAGGTCGGCTCTGGAATTCCGTTAGAACACCGTGACTGTGGCAGATCTGATCCCCTTCTAGTCGGTTGAGAAGAGTCACACAGACCACTGCAGCTAAAATACAGAGAGGAAAAGATCCAATGTGAACAAATAGGACAGTGATTAATGTTTTTATCTTGTAAACAATCTTCTTACAGGGGTCAGTAATCTTCGGATGTTTTGGACTACATGTCCCATAATTCTCTTACAGCCGTAATGCTGGAGTCCACATCATCTGGAGTACCATAATGAATGCTGGAAAACAAAGCTGCCCCCTGTAGGCTAGACACTACTGTAAGCTTCTGTTAAACACTGTTATCAGGAATAGTAAATGTGTTTTGTGGAAAATTGGTTGGAAAACAGTTGGCTCTTGGGGCAATATGGAATGCAAGACACACATCAGAATTAATTTCTGGAGAAATAATTTATCTTCATTACAGTTATATGTATGGAGTTGATTGCTTTATTGAGTCACCTTTTGGCAATGTTTCCACCATTAATGGCCTTTGTTAAGCCTTGGTGACATTGCCAAGTCACTTTGCGGTGACCAGTACTATAACATTTTTGAAAATGAACAGAGAGCACCGTCTAATCTGCCTTGACCTTCAAAATAAATTGATTTTACCTCTCTTGAGCATTCTTCATTACTTACAAACAAATGTATAATTTTGCTTCTCCATATATCAGTTATTACTTCCGAGCAATAGCAGTTTCTTTTATATATTACATTTAAAAATAAAATAAATCTTTTGTACATTTTAGAAAATTCATCAATGTGGTCTTTTTAAATACCAGCGGTACAATCACATAAACAAGTATGAATCACTGCTTTGGAACTTACCAATAAAAAATATATTAGAGTAGACTAGGGTTTGCAGTTTTTAATCAAATAAAATAGTGTTCCAATCATTTGGAATGCAATGCATTCGGGACATTTGGCATTTAGACATCAGATTAAGTAGCCTATTTTCAGGGGTTATTGACCAATCACTGAATTGTGCTATTTGATCCACTTTTTAGGATACGACACTTTGATAAATCTCCCCCATAGTCTGTAAACACATATAAAAGCTAATTATTTTCTTTCATCCTGCATAAAACACTGGTAAAAAATGGAAAAAGAGACACTTAACATGTCGAGCAGCTGGAAGAATGCTCACTGATATGAAATATGCTGCCGAAAAGACCAGTTTCTTGGCTGAGTGGTGTACAGGCTTTCCCCAACTAAAATTATGTACAAATTCATTTATATTTCCTTTGATTTCACACGGGGTGTTTATTATAGTGGGATTTGTCTGGATTTAAAATTGAATTTCAAATTTGAGTCAAAGTATCTCACTTTTTTTGGCTTATAATTTAAAGGTCTAAAATGTACCCCTCTGGCAACTTGTGTAACCCTTTACCTTGTTGTGTCAGGCACTCAAAGTCCATACTTTCACATTATCATACTAATGCATATAAATTCTAAACAATGTTCTTTTGCAGAGAGCTTCTCATTTACTAGAGCTGCTCGGACTGGTAGGGACTATTCCTAAATAATATGAAAGATTATCAGAGGATGGCTCATGGGGGCTCCTGGCACCATAGCCTCTGCAGAGCACTGTAGTTATCATAGTGCCTAGAGCAGGGGTACCCAAAAGGTAGATCCCTAGGTGCTGTTGAACTACAAATCCCATGATGCATTGCATGCCTTTAGAATGCAATTAGAATTACAAGGCATTATGGAAGCTGTATTTTAAAACATATTGGGATCTACATTTTGGGCACCCTGGCCTAGACCTAGAGCATTCCTTTAGTAATTCACTGAATTCCCGATAATGCACACTTTTTTTTGAAAACTTTCATTAGACTCACTAATGTATGACTATTTATTTAAAGGGGGATGTGCTCCAGTAAGAGTACAAAGTACATTTATTACTTAAAGGACCACTATAGGCACCCAGACCACTTCAGCTTAATGAAGTGGTCTGGGTGCCAGGTCCAGCTAGGTTTAACCCTTTTTTTCTATTACTTAAAGGACCACTATAGGCACCCAGACCACTTCATGAATGAATGTTTATAATAGGGTTAATCCAGCCTCTAGTGGCTGTCTCGATGACAGCCGCTAGAGGCGCTTCCGCGCTTCTCACTGTGATTTTCACAGAATGCTTTCCTATGGACCTGCTGAATGCGCGTGCGGCTCTTGCCGCACATGCGCATTCAGCCGAGGAGGAGGAGAGGAGGAGGAGAGTCCCCCGCCCTGCACTGGAGAAAGGTAAGTTTAACCCCTTCCACCCCCTAGAGCCCGGTGGGAGGGGACCCTGAGGGTGGGGACACCCTCAAGGAACTACAGTGCCAAGAAAGCGAGTATGTTTTCCTGGCACCATAGTGGTCCTTTAAAGTGGGATATTTGTCACTTAGGGTTGCATTCTTATAAGATATTTGTAGCACCAAACAAGGAAAATGAAACCAAATCTCACATATACATGATAATACGTTAACAGATAATGTATAAGTAGACAGTGCACCAGTCTACTTTGTTGATCTTTATAAGCCAATCTGCTTTAATATATTGCACAATAACTAAAAAGTAAGCAATACTAATGATAAAGATAAAAAGTTGTACCTTCGTAAAAGTCATATGTGCACATGGTATGACCGATAATTGTAGGAAAACTGGAAATCTCCCGACTGCATTCCAGCAGATCTTTGGCGAGTTCCTGGTGAAGTTGGGTATTCCTCACGACCACTTTGTCCAAAATAGTTTGCTCAAACTGGGGCCTAAAAAAAGCGTCTACAGCTATGTCTGTAATCACAACTGTGCCGGGTTCGATGCCTGGGACGTTAAAAGGTGTGAATTAGAACAAATCTGCCAAACAAAACTGACTTTCCAAGTAACATTTCAAATATTACTTTTTAACATTATCTAAAAGTGGGAAAAATATTAAAGGGACATTACAATGTTGTCAACCTTGTCACTTATCAACTGGCATCTTAAAGAACAGAAATCTATTTTTGATATGGTATTAAAACGGTGAATGTACTTAACTGCACCACTAAGCTTAAACATTAATAGGGCATTATACTCCCTGCTAGGAATTTACATTGATTTCTATTAAACATATTACGTGCTATTGAACTTTCAAGTGTCAGGCAGAGTTCTCAGGTTCTGAGAGAGTTCAGACTTAGACATTCTGGAGCTAAGATTGGAAAATTCTGAACATAAATGTAGCAATAATCTCCTTTATTGAAAATAATGTTTACCAATCCCTCCAGATGTCCCAATGCGAATTAAGGTGACGTCACGGCACTTGGCATGGTGGAGTAGTTTGATGAGTTCATGGAGCATAATGGAAATAGAAGGGATCCCCATCCCATGCTGTAAAGGATACGATTACAACATTTTACTACCAAAAATATACAGACTGTGCTCTGCTTACTGCTGCGGTGTTGAAACAAGAAAAGGTAACCATAGCTGAGTGTGTTATCTGTATTATCTGTGTAAGTGTAATTTATTTGGTTTGTATTTGGATCTGCTTAAATAGAATTGTATAGAACTTGGGAGGTATTCTCACATTATTTGGGGGTCTTTGCAGTCGAGGATACCATGTTAGGAATTGGGGGAAATGCAGCAAAACTATGGCAACCAACAATGCCTTTATGATACGTAATAGTTTAAAGTTTATTCAAAACAGTTACATTGTTGTGGTATATTTTTTATTGTTTTACTGGTTTATTTTATATATTGATTCCTGTTTAATATGCCGAGACATCTACAATTACAATTGTAGATAAGTATGTTTTAATGATTTTCGCAATAACTTATATGTCATCATTTGTCATTGTAATTGTCATCGCAACTTTCTTTAACATCTCTTGAAAAAAAACAAATACAAAACTATAAATGAAGAATTTTTTTTTTAAAAAAAGGAATGAGGTAAATGTTTATGAAGCATTCTTCATATACGTATCTAATTTGATCTATACATCTGCCTAGAAGCACAGAGCATAGGTTATATCTGAAGGTGAACCTATCACACACACTATCTGCAGATGACAGTTTCACTGTAAAATATAATGAATGTGCGATATTTATATAAATAATAAGACAATGCTGAGGAGCTCTGTGATTATAGACACGAAACACACTGTTTTACAGCTGTGATACAATCTATAATTAATAAATAAAGAGATACTCACACTAATAGACAGCACAGGGCCTACTTTGTACATGCTGTATCTGTCTGTCCCAGCGCAGATATCCACTATGTTATTACCATCTCCATCCAGACCCAGTTCGTTATGAATGAATAATGCGAAGCTCCTCATTCTGTTAGGACTTCCTCCAACACACACAAACTGGAAGAGAATTGTATATATTTAGAAATGCACCGTGCAAGTTAAACAGGTTTACTTCATAGTTACCGTAAGATCAAGAGAAGTCACCTGCTCCCATTCAAGGCCGCCAGCATTTCAATTTCAAGCATCATTTATTGATTTATTCACTAGTGTGAACAGTGAGCAATTCTAAGGGAGTTTTACTAAAGTCAAGATTATCGGGAATCGAAAGTGAATTTAAAATTCAAGGCCAGGATAGCAATCTTTATGTATATCATTTATCAACCTATGAGAACTCAGTGCTTAGTGTATAAATCTTTATGGGATCCAGAATTCAAAGTTCCGTAGGGATATTCACTAAAATCTGTATTTTTACAAAGTAAATCTGAATTCAGAAACTGAAGCAAAAATATCTGATCTGGTTTTTTTTTTTTTTTTTAACATTTTTGACTTAGCGTTGCCAATTGGATTTATTTTGTGAAAATCTGGAGTATAGTGAGTGGCAGGGTGAGGGGTTGAGTGTGACAGTGTGTGTGTGTGGCAGGGTGAGGGGTTGAGTGTGACAGTGTGTGTGTGTGTGGCAGGGTGAGGGGGTGAGGGGGTAAGTGTGACAGGATGAGTGTAACAGAATGTGTGGCGGGTGAGAGGGTGTGTGACAGGGTGCGGGGGTGAGTGTGACAGAGTATGTGGCAGGTGAGAGGGCTGGTGAGTGTTACATGGTTGGGGGGTGAGTGTGACAGGGTATGTGGCAGATAAGAGGGCTGGTGAGTGTGACATGGTTGGGGGTGAGTGTGACAGTGTGTGGGGAGGATGAGAAGGTTGGTGAGTGTGACATGGTTGGGGTGTGAGTGTGACAGGGTAGGTGGCAGGGTTAGGGGGGTGGTGAGTGTTACATGGTTGGGGGGTGAGTGTGACAGGGTATGTGGCAGATGAGAGGGCTGGTGAGTTTGACATGGTTGGGGGTGAGTGTGACAGTTTGTGGGGAGGGTGAGAAGGTTGGTGAGTGTGACATGGTTGGGGGGGTGAGTGTGACAGGGTAGGTGGCAGGGTTAGGGGGGTGGTGAGTGTTACATGGTTGGAGGGTGAGTGTGACAGAGTATGTGGCAGGTGAGAGGGCTGTGAGTGTTACATGGTTGGGGGGTGAGTGTGACATCGTATGTGGCAGATGAGAGGGCTGGTGAGTGTGACATGGTTGGGGGTGAGTGTGACAGTATGTGGGGAGGGTGAGAAGGTTGGTGAGTGTGACATGGTTGGGGGGTGAGTGTGACAGGGTAGGTGGCAGGGTTAGGGGGGGGGTGAGGGTTACATGGTTGGGGGGGGAGTGTGACAGGGTATGTGGCAGATGAGAGGGCTACAATTGAGTTTGACATGGTTGGGGTGGTGTGACAGTTTGTGGGGGAGGGTGAGAAGGTTAGTGAGTGTGACATGGTTGGGGGTGAGTGTGACAGGGTGGGTGCTTGGGAGTTAGAGGGTGGTGGAGTGTTACATGGTTGGAGGGTAAGTGTGACAGGTATGTAGGTGAGAGGGGGCTGTGAGTGTTACATGGTTGGGGGTGAGTGTGACATGGTATGTGGCAGATATGAGAGGGCTGAGTGAGTGTGACATGGTTGGGGTGGAGATGTGACAGTATGTGGGAGGGTGAGAAAGGTTGGTGAAGTGTGACATGGATTTGGGGTGAGAGTGTGACAGGGTAGGTGCTTGGGGGTTGCAGGGGTGGTGAGTGTTACATGGTTGGAGGGTGAGTGTGACAGAGTATGTGGCAGGTGAGAGGGCTGTGAGTGTTACATGATTGGGGGGTGAGTGTGACAGGGTATGTGGCAGATGAGAGGGCTGGTGAGTGTGACATGGTTGGGGGTGAGTGTGACAGGGTAGGTGGCAGGGTTAAGGGGGTGGTGAGTGTTACATGGTGGGGGGTGAGTGTGACATCGTATGTGGCAGATGAGAGGGCTGGTGAGTGTGACATGGTTGGGGGTGAGTGACAGTGTGTGGGGAGGGTGAGAAGGTTGGTGAGTGTGACATGGTTGGGGGGTGAGTGTGACAGGGTAGGTGGCATGGTTAGGGGGGTGGTGAGTGTTACATAGTTGGGGGCAGAGTGTGATAGTAGAAAGAAGTGTGTAGTGGAACTGCTACGTGAGAGAGAGCACAAAATGCTTTTTGGATGTGGAAGCCTCGCCCTCCCGGTGTGCGTGTGTCTGTGTGTGTGAGTCTGAGGTAACAAATACAGTCATGAAACTGTCCTGGAAGTGACAAATACCTCTTCCCAACTAAATGAATTACAACATGTTAGATGCTGTGTAACTGAGTTTCCCTGTTATGATCATGACTCATTCCTATATGAACGTTTTTCCTGTTACAAATTTTTTTTATTCTGAATCAACTTCCCTGGTTGAAGTGAGCTTTACTAGCAAAGAAATCCTGTTAGGAACAAACATTATAGTTAATAAAATAACTAGACTAATTTTGTCAAAACATAACAGCCGTCAGAAGAAACAAACATGGATTTCCTTTAATCTGGTAACAGGTCTGGGAGGTACGTCGTGTCGGTGTGGCTTCATTTTTGGACGGAGGCAGCATTTTGTCCTTGGACTCAGGAAGAACATTGATATCTAAGGCCAGCCTTTATCATTTCTCCATGCCAAACAAACGGCTTCATGGGAGATTTGTTTTTGTTTTTGATTTTCTTCATTATTATTTATAAAATATTTTACCAGGAAAGATACATTGAGATTCCTCTCATTTTCAAGTATGTCATAACAGATATAGTTATTTAAGCTTTAGTATATCGAGTAAGGTTTCGAGTGAAGAGAACTATACGTTCTCAGATTACCTTAACATCTCCAAACATGGAGGGCAAATCGTGCGTTTTAGTTCCTAAGTCGAAGTGGTAGAGAATATCTTCAGACAGCATGTCCAGGTGAGGGTTTTTAATATGTACAAAGCCATTGCTAAAAAAAAGAGACAGATGTAATTATTATCCATCCATTGTCAGTGCATGATTTGTAAAAATGAAACATGGAGGATTGTTCCAAAAGTCTTTACTAAAGAGTGTTAACCCCTTTACTCCGGGACTCGTATATAAATGATTGCCAGGGTGTGCACCCAATCCATACAAAGCGGATACAGGATTTGGAATATTGCAATCAAAATACATTTCATATAAAACAAATTTCACTTGGGGTCCCAGACAGCAGAGCCAGCGCTACCATTATCTCACCAATTCTGCTGAGCTCCATTTAGCGCACTTTGCACATCTCAGAAACCTGAAGGGGGCATTAGGAGGGGTCTGCACACAGCTAGAGAGGTGCACCTGCACTGGTAGTCCACGGGACCACCAGGGAATAGATTATTGCTCTCTCTCACAAACAAAGGAGGTAAGCAGGAGTGGGGCAACATAAATTAAAAAGGCATTACAGTTCGTAAGGATTATGAACACAGAAACACAGCTTCCGCACATAAAGTCCCCCCACATTCATCCCCCAAAAATTTCACACTCATCCCCCAAACATTGTCATACTCACTGTGTCACACTCATCCCCCAAACATTGTCACACTCACCCTGTCACACTCATCCCCCAAACATTGTCACACTCACCCTGTCACACTCATTCCCCAAACATTGTCACACTCACCCTGTCACTCTCATTCCCCAAACATTGTCACACTCACCCTGTCACACTCATCCCCCAAACATTGTCACACTCACCCTGTCACACTCATTCCCCAAACATTGTCACACTCACCCTGTCACTCTCATTCCCCAAACATTGTCACACTCACCCTGTCACACTCACCCTGTCCAACTCATCCCCCAAACATTGTCACACTCACCCTGTCACACTCATCCCCCAAACATTGTCACACTCACCCTGTCACACTCATCCCCCAAACATTGTCACACTCACCCTGTCACACTCATTCCCCAAACATTGTCACACTCACCCTGTCACTCTCATTCCCCAAACATTGTCACACTCACCCTGTCACACTCACCCTGTCCAACTCATCCCCCAAACATTGTCACACTCACCCTGTCACACTCATCCCGCAAACATTGTCACACTCACCCTGTCACACTCATCCCCCAAACATTGTTACACCCCCCCTTCCCCCCCCAACCCTGTCACAATCACACTGCCACAGTCATGCTCCTACTCACAAAATGAAAAAATAACTGATTTGGAGATTTTTCAGCTATTTCATCTTTACAATCAACATACATTTATGACATTTTTGCATTTAGGAAATACCCCAATCCCACCCTATATTCCCACTTTGTGCTGGATTTTACTTATAATACTAATAATTATCTCTTGTATTTTTTTATCTCCAACTTTGCTTTTACAGTTTATAAGAATTGGCATGGCATATGGAGAAGCACTAGAATACAATTTAACATACACAATGTGAAATAGCAGCTGGGGGAACTATTCATTAAACAGCAATTTGTTTAACGTGCAAAAAGTACTTGCAAATTTTAAAATCAAAATGGAATAATGGGAAACAAAATCTCATGGTTAGATTGTATTATAAAATGCATACACTTCTCTGAAAATTGAATAGACGTCAGTAAGAAAACTAATATTTAGTTACTGGAAGTAAATTTGTATTTTGTAATAGAATGTAGCCCTCCGGTGGAAAACCTCAAAATCAGAACATTATTATACATTTGATGCAAGCACGAAATAGAAAAAATTGCAAAAAACTACTTGCAAAATTCAGAACAAAATATCTAAAAGGGCGAAAAAAAAAAAAAAATCACCAAACCAACAATGCTTTCAATTTGACTACTTCGGACTTAAATCTTGACATTCCTCACTTTAGTGAATAAACCATCCAATTTTAGTTTATATCGTGGCTGCTGGGACCTAAACTTACCATTTAGTGAATACAACCCCCATTGTAATATTTAGTTTTAAATCAAATTAAAGCCTTAAAGATCACAATATTTTGTCTACTTACTCCACATAAGTCTCCCTCTCTGGTGTGCCGGACTTGCTGTTATCGACTAATATGGGTGCCATCGCTCACTGTAAAATACAGTCTTGTACACTGGCTTTCTCAGATAATGTTGTAGTTTCTAAACATCCACAGTAGCATGTCTCTCTGGTGTGACATCATGATGGGCGGTGTTATTATATGACAAGATGATGTCACCCAGAGGAATGTCACTTAGAGCTCTCAGATTGGCTAGAATTCGGGGGGTGTTGTCACTGCCTTGTTATGAAACTATTTGGCTTTGGTTACTTATTACAGGCAGATGAAGAAAGTAAAACGTCCCTTCTTTCACTAATATATTTCCTGTACTGATTTTCTCATTGGCTGAGAGAGAGTTTTTTTGTAATTTTCCATAGAGTTTAAAAGGAGGATTTGTGTTTCTTTGTCTCAGTAATAATTATATATTCTTTCTCCTGCATAGGAATTATCCGATATAATGAGGTAGGCGAGTATGTTTAGGCTTCATATGTAAATGTAAGTGCAAAGGAGGAAACTCCTGCTCCTAAAATGTTTTGAGAGGGGTGTGTCTCTGTTTGTGTGTCTTTGTCATAGCATCACAGGTGTATCTTTGCCAAGTCATATACTGATTTACTGTTGAGTCCACTTGCTAAGAGGTTAATAGACTTCACTGACAAGTGAAAGAACTGGTTTTGTTAACAAGGGTTATATTTAGTAATGTGAGAATTGTGGCGAATTGGAGGTGAATTGAAAGTGAAATTCAAAGTGGCATAAATCTGGTCTTCCGTAAAGATATATAAAAGAATTCTATCAGAAGTTTCAAGATTATTTAAAAACGTTTTTAAAAAGTTCACTTTTAATCGCTCAAAAGACAAAGTAGAGTTTTTAGATCTGGAGATTGATCTTATAGATAATAGGTGTAATACTTAGACGATTGGAAGCCAGCAGACGGTAATTTTGCAAATTTTATTCCAGCCATGAGTCACGATTAAAAAAAGAAAGAAAAAAATGATTTCAGAAAATCCTGTATAGCCAATTAAGAATAAGGAATTATCTGTCTGTAGAATATAGATGGAAAAAATAAAAATTTTTGCGGAAAGTATATGATAATCATTTACTAGACGATGCTAACAGGAGGCATGGCTGTGGCACATAGATAAGGCATCAGTCCAAAATTCTACTGACTTCGTCGACACTCCCCTGATATCTAGCCCGCCTGATAGGCCCATCTATTTCATCTGTTGGCTAACTATACAGGTGTATTGTAAACTGAGAGGGGGTGCTCTGGAACCTCTTTATAAACCTTAATATGGCAAGGTGCTATGTAATACTTTGTTATTATTATTATTATGTAACACTGAAACGTTGGTTGGGACGGTTTTATTTCAGATGTTTCTTTGCAGCGAGCACATGCCAATCCTAGAGTGGTTTGGGTGATTGCAATTCAGTTTAATGGCATAGCCTCTGTTGATAGTAGGTATCTCATCAATCTGAGGTAATCAAGGTATTGGCCTGCGGTTGAGGCGATCTGTAAGGAATTGTAGGTTGTCTCTATGTATGGTGTAACGGAGCTCCTTGTACTCCGACTGAGTACCCTCCATTGATGGATGCTCCTAGCGCTTCCTGAGGACTCCCAAGCACTGCAGCAGACACCACAACCACCACAGACTCTGCAACCGCCGTATCTTGACTGGAGTCTCGCCGTCTTCCTTCCACCCTGGATCAGCTTCTGTCCTCCAGGACTGTGTAGGAAAGAACTCTCCCTTCCACCCTGTATGAACCTCCAGCATCCAGGACTGTGTGGTGAAGACCCCTCCTCCAAGGAGAGCGTGTCAGGAACAAGCTCTTAAAAGAGCTAAGTGACTCAAGCTCAGGGGAGCATGCAGAGCATAGCAATCCCCAGTGTGATTATAACAGCTCCCTCCAATAACGAGACAAAGATACATTTAGAGGGATCAAGAAGAACTGTCAAAACCTTTATTTCCCTTGAGACCAGCCAATAGGGTCACCACAATCACATTGTTGTGAAACCTCAATAAAATCACAAACAGTCAAACCATATCAAGCAACACACAGTGACTTATCACAACACAATGGCACATTTTTAACGGGGTGGGGGGAGACAATATTTAACAGTAAATATCTCACCTGCCTGCAGAATTAGCAATATGCAAATCTACCCGAATATGCAAATGAACCAGTCTTACAATTCAGGTAGTGCATATTGCTGTTGCTACCAACAGAGGGCACTAGACCAGCTCCATAGCCAAACCCACCTAGTTGGTAGCAAACCTCAGCAATACAAGAGAGCAGGCAATACATTACACAGTACACACACACTATAAACAATTACATTACACACACCCTGCACCTATAATGGGTACAGGGTGACTAAAACATAAGATAAATAAAGCAGCCTACATAAATAGTCTGTCTGAAGGTAGACTAGGGGCTTTAAAGCCAGATACATGAAAGAGTCATAGTCACAGGGGAGGAGGCTGGCAAGTAGGCCTCTCCAGGACCAAGTGGCAAAGGGCACTTTGTCACATATGGAGACATCCGAGGTATACATTTTCCAAGAGACTTGCCTCTACATTTACACAATTACTCTCATTGTAGATTAGGCCTATTTTCCTTTTACGGCAACTAAGCTAACTACCTTTACATATTCAGTTTCTTAAAGTGGCAGAGTACTTTGTAAATCCAATAAGGCAACAAGCAGATTTTGGTGTTATCACTAACTATCATTGAGATAACCGAGGCAAACCTCACAATTAAGGGACCTGTATCTGTATTTAGGAGATTGAGCCAACCCTTTAACTAATTACTAATCCAGCCTTATTGAAGATTAGTTAAAATTGTATAGTTAGTCTGCCTCTTCCTCTGTTTCTTCCTGGAGACAAACAAGGCCATCTGCCCGTATATATACTATTTCTCTAGTAGCAGAGTACATTCTCTAACAATCATTTGATCTAAATGGCATTTCTTACTAATATACTAAGAAGTATGGAGAAGAATTATAGGAGTACATTTGTACTGTACTGCTTAGTCTCCATCAACAGGCTGTTAATACCCATTCTATTTTAAATTTCTATTTAGCAGTAGCTGGATAATAGTAATTTAGTGATCTGATTGGCATCTTGATAATAAACCCTATTTAGACACTAGACACATTGTTTACCTTGTAAGAAGCTGATACTAATTTGTATCTACAGTCCCCAGCTCTCATCGTTTAACTCAATGGTCCCCAAACCAGTCCTCATGGACCACCAACAGTCCAGGTTTTGTCAGTATTTCCATTTGAATAAAAAAGGGAAATACATAAATCCTGGACTGTTTGTGATACAACAGGACTGGTTTGGGGACCAAGAGGACTGGTTTGGGGACCACTGGTAACTATTGAATTGTTACTTTGTAGCATTGTGTATCCAAAATTATTACCAGGTTTGGATCCCCTAGTGGGAGACTTCTTTACTTTTTATTATTAGAAAAGGATTGTACATTCTGGTGTTTTGAACCTCAAGTCCTTGTTGGGTTCAACGTTGACGTAGGCTTTCATAAATCAAGAATTGTGAATGGTGTGCAAATAACCCAAGTCAAGTAAATAGGCTATGCACATTTAAAAGTCGTGTAACTGAAGGCGCAACGCACCTTTATCACCTATTTACCGCTAATAGACTCCTAGACTACACGACCTTAGCGGACAAATATGCACTCCCACAGTACTCGCTGTACTCATACCTCCAACTAAAATCCTATATGTCCAAAGAAGAGAAACGCTTCTTAGACACCTCCAGGGATGCAAATATGATTACTGAATGGGAACAAATGTGTATAACTGCAAATGTATTGCCTCACTGTAAACTAGTCTCCATGTGTCTTAGCTCTATAGCAAATTATAGCCATTTCTTCACCACCAAATATGCCCAACAATGGGAGAGCGATCTCCGCTATACAGTGCCACCTAAATACTGGGATAATATTCTATCCGACCCACTCAAATTACTAAATACAACATCCCACATTGAACAACACCGTAAAATATTGTACCATTGGTATTTAGTGCCGACCAGATTACATAAGATCTTCCCCTCCACCTCACCACTCTGTTGGAGGTGCCACGCAGCGGAGGGTTCGATGCACCATATATGGTGGAGCTATCCACGGCTACTCCATTACTGGACTGAAGACCACGCACTGATCCAAGAGATCACCCAAAGCTCGCTCCCATTCACCCCGCAGACGTGCCTACTACTAGATCTACCTAGAGAGATGCCCCAACACGTCAGGAAACTAACCCTGCACATTGCCTTGACGGTGCAGCAATTAATAGCAAGGAGATGGAAGTCCACGATCCTTCCCAAGAAGGAGAGCCTACAAGAGGAATTGCATAAGCAGTGGATTTACGAGACCTCCTACAAGTCCCTCTTTCCCCCCTCTATACTCTACCAAAAAACTTAGGAGCTTTGGCAAACATGGAGATCTGGTAATGTACCTGGTAATGTACCTTCTCAGTAGGTCAAAAATGACCTGAAGGCACGCCAGCCGCAACCGACTGCCCACACGCTATAGTGATGCCGAAAGGCCACTTAACCCTCATGGTTCTGCTACTATGCTCACCATTATACACGGTCGACTGCATGTTGACATGTTGAATTGTTGATACAATGTTGCTACAAGGTGAAAACAATGTTGATCTACTGTCGATGCTTGACTGCTTCATACTGTGATGCACCCCGCCCCCTTTTCTCTGTTTTGTACCCCTTCCCTGTATAACGAGCATTTAAACAAAGTTATTACTACCTTCCTTCCCTTTTCTCTTCTGTACCCCAAATATGTTGTTTAATGACAAACTAAAAATTGTCAAATTTTAAAAGAAGTAGGGTAACTGGCAAGAATGTTACAATTAGGTCACACATTAACTGTAATTGTAGCTGTGTTATCTATTCAGTGTTGTGGCAATAACAAGCGTTCCTATAATAAACATGTAGGTAGAACAAAGATATCATTTAGAAAAACATAATAAAATACTGGTAGGTAGGAAAAAGTGCAAATACAAGTGCAGGCAAGCCACAAAAAGGGATCACTCCCAACAATATAAAGAACAGGTGTAGTATAGTTCAAAATGTATACAAAGTAGGACACCACTGTCACAAGTGCATGAATATAGTCACCACTCAGGTTTCAGATGATAACATGTAATAAAGTTTAGGAGAGCAAATATGGTGAAGTATTTAATGATAACAATATTTAAATGAAAAACAATGAAAACACACTCACAAGCGAAGTGGCACAAAAATAAATATATCTTAGTGTGCAAGAAAGCGTTTCAGCCACCAATGGGTTAGGTCCCCTTAGAGAAAGTCTGCCGATAGTGATAGCTCTTGAAAAAGTCCAAGGACGAAACGCATCGAGCTGGCACGAGTGCCCCCAGTAAAGATTTGAGACTAAAGCCGTTACCTGCAGGACCATGAAGATTGTATCCATCCTACCAACAAGTGTAGTCTTGGACTGGCACACATTCGTCTACTGGTATCCTGAGGTACTATCGGCAAACTCTCTCTAACATTACATGTTATTATCTGAAACCTGAGTGGTAACTATATTCACGCATTGTGACAGTGGCGCCCTACTTTGTATACATTTTGCGCTATACTACACCTTTTCTTACCATTTAGAATAAGACTTTACAGACATATCCTTTCTCTAGACACTTTAGTGTTTCACGCTCAGAATGCAAAGGGCTTGAGGTCTGTGGTTATTAATTCCTTGAGTGTACCATGCGGGGGGGATGGAGGGGGGAAAGGAGAGGGGGTGATAGAGAAATAGTTGGATAAAATTGAGGCAAACTGGATATGGAAATTAGTGACTAGGAAACAAATAGGAAATCTAAATGTGGACTTTGAGCCCATTTATTTCAGATTAGATATTTACATTTTTGGTTTTGTACTAAAAAAATAAATAAAGTATATATTTGATATTTTTATGATACAGGGCCATATCCACATGCACAATATTATTCTTTTAGCTACATATGTCTGTTTATGGTGTCTTATTTATGACAAGTATTTTTAAAGATTCGGTATGATGTTTTGGTGTGTGTTTTTTTAATTTATTTACATAGCTATTTTAGAGTTATGATATTGTCTTTTTTAATTTTTTTAAATTAATCATTTATCAAATTTTAGTATTATTTTAAAAATATTTTGGTTTTGGTAATAATCCCCCTGTTTTCTTCTGTTTTAAAATGATCAGAACTATTTTTGAATACTGTAACATTTATTGATATATTTGTATAAGACCTATTTATTATTAAGATTTTATTTATTATTTGATATATTCATGATTTTAATTTGGTAAAGATTATGTGCTTTTATTCAGTTAAATGTAGCATGTACGGAGAGAACACCTGTTTTGCATATTTGTGCTGTTGTGAGGGATTCTATTCAGGGGGTTGAATAATTTTGAGACTGGAGAATTAATTATTAGTTGCATTTTCCGTTGAATTTGTAGAACCCCTAAAACATTAATTCCATTGTGCTATTTCACTTGTTTCTGTTTGATATGTTCATTGCAAACAGCTTAAAGTCTGTACATTTTGACAATAAACCTAATTTTCACTGGGGGGGGTTAAATAATTTTGATTATTTATTTATTTTTTATTATTTATTACTGGTATTTATAAAGCTCCAACAGATTCCGTAGTGCTGTACAATTAGTGGAGAACATACAATACACACAGAAAAATACAAAAGGTAGAGAGAGCCTGCCTGTAAGCTGAAATCTTGCCAATACAAAGTGCATAGGTAGAGAGCCCGTGAGCTTACAATCTAAAGGATTAGAACTGTGTATAAAACCAAGAGGGCTACATTCACTTGAACATGCATACTTATAAGGGTGCTGCTGGGGCTAATTCATACAACATACAAAATCCAGCACCCTCACTCATTCACTAAACAGCAATTTCAAAGGTCATAGAATGTAACAGTTCCACTTAAAAAAATAACCTAGGCAAACTTAATGGGGATTTAGTTACAGTATTGTTTATTTATTTATAAAATATCTTACCAGGATGGATACATTGAGATTTCTCTCGTTTTATGTCCAATATATAATCATACATTGCATAAGCCTGCCACAACGTCAATGTACCCCAATTCATTGCATTTTAGGAACCACTTTGTGTTGAGCTATTTCAATTTGAGTTGAATAATTTTGATTACAACTATATATAATCATAATTTACGAGTTATAAATATATTGAGGTCGTTTTGGAAATATGTTTAGCTTTGTTTAAGTGTTTGCCATTTATTTGTGACATGAATAATTATATTTTTGGGTATGTAATAATGCTATAAATTAGGGGGCGGAGGATGTATAAAATCACACGGTGTGCTTTATGGACTACTGTCTCTGATGAAGTGGGTCTGCTAATCCTTGAAACTAGCAAGAGAAGTATGTACTGCTACCCCAAATAAGGGATTTGTTAATAAAAAGAGAATTAAAATGGATATATAAAATATCACAAAAACAGCAAAAAATGAATTACTCACTCCACCATGGCAGATGTGCTCCAAGTTCTCGGTGCCGGCAGTAACGTTCCTCAAATTCTGAAAATCCTCACAAAATAGCAGCAGTACCGCACTCTAAAAGAACTTAATGGAAAATAATAAGATATCTGGAGAATCAGTGTCCTTGAAGTACAGATTTATTACAAGATGTATTACAATAATGTCACAACTGGACGCTTTCTCAACATATGTATTAAGAAAGCATCCAGTAGTGACGTGAAACGTGTTCCGTTCCCAGCTACATTTATCTGTTTTTTTTTTTGTACCCCCCTTTCTTTTTTGAAAAATAAAAATAAATGAAACTGGGAACTGAACACGTTTCACGTCACTAGTGGAAGTTTTCTTAATACATATGTTGAGAAAGCGTCCTGTAGTGACATTATTGTAACAAATCTTGCAATAAATCTGTACTACAAGGATACCGTGGGTTGTAGTGAATTTAAAACAGAATTTAAAAATTCAAGAGAAATAGCTGTACTGGAAATACATTTTAAAAAAATGCAATTCTCTTGTCAGTTTTTCTATAAATCTTGGTTTAGTTGATGATGTGGTGGGAAAATGGGATTGAGACATTGGCAAGATAGTGGGAGTCATGGAAGTGAAAGGATAGTGCATTGTAATAGGGAGGCAGTGGCATGATAGAGGAAGTTAGGGTAGAATGAGCTGGGAAAGGTTAGTGGGAGTTAGAGCAGAATGGGTTGAGGCAAGATAGTAGGAGCTGAGGTAGAGTGGGCTGGGGCAGGACAGCAGGAACTGGTATAGAGAGGGCTGGAGAAGGATGGTGGGAGTTGGAGAGGATTGGGCTGGGGCAGGACAGCAGAGAGGGCTGGAGAAGGATGGTGGGTGTTGGAGAGGATTGGGCTGGGGCTGGATGGTGGGAGTTTGGGTAGACTCGGATGGGGAAGTGGAAATTGAGAACGAGTAAGCTGGGGCAGGACAGCGGGATTTGGGAGTATTGTGGGCTGGGGCAGGACAGTGGGAGCTGGAGTGGAGAAGACTGGGGCAGGAAAGTAGAGTGGGCTGAGCAGGACAATGGGAGCTGGAATGGGGCCAGCAGGGGTAGGATAGTGTACTTTGGGATATAGTTGGTTGGGGAAGGACAATGGGAGCTGGAATGGAGCCAACAGGGGTAGGATAGTGTAATTTGGGATATAGTGGGTTGGGAAAGGACAATGGGAGCTGGAATGGGGCCAGCAGGGGTAGGATAGTGTAATTTGGGATATAGTGGGTTGGGGCAGGACAATGGGAGATGGAATGGGGCCAGCAGGGGAAGGATAGTGTAATTTGGAATATAGTGGGCTGGGGCAGGACAATGGGAGCTGGAATGGGGCCAGCAGGGGAAGGATAGTGTAATTTGGGATATAGTGGGCTGGGGCAGGACAATGGGAGCTGGAATGGGGCCAGCAGGGGGTAGTATAGTGTAATTTGGGATATAGTGGGTTGGGACATGACAGTGGGAGTTGGGGCAGAATTTGGCTAGATTAGGCTTGGGCAGGACAGTGGGAATGCTCGCTCTAACACACGGTGTGTTTCCATGTGCTCTGTGTGGAGCTGGCTGCAGAAGAGACAGAACATGAAGGATGTCGCCAATCCCCCTATCTCCAGTACTCATTACTAGAGGAACTGCATGACTGGATGGGGATCTGCTTACTTTTGATCCCTCTGACTGTGATGATTGTCTGAGAGGGAGTCATCTCCCAGGTTCTTACACCCATGCAAATAGCCATAAACATTTAACCAATTTTCTTTGTTTATTAATTTTGTTCCTTTACTAATATTCCAGACCCTCTCTAGAACATTGCAAGGGAGGAGTAACCAAACAACATCTTAAATGTACTAACCCCTCATATTCATGTAAAGACTCGGTTAATAAATGGAAAATTAACACTGAGTATATTTACATAGACAATTTATTCTTGTTATTTATCACCAAACAGCAATCTTTGTTTTGTGCTAAGCTATTTATCCAATGTTTGAAATGTTACTCTACTTTAAAACAAAAATATCGAGGCTTAAGATAATCAATTCACTGATTAGTTAAATGAGCACTCTAAGCACCATCACCACTTCAGTCTTATGGTAGAGCTTCCCACCATGCACATTCTGGCTCTGATTTTAATGCCAGTGACTGTTCCTCCTGTACATGACAGGCGCACAGTCGGATTTGCCGGCATATATGCTAACCTTACCCAAACCCCCATTAAAACACGGACACAGGTTATACTGTTGGAAATAATTCGTCCACAGCTTTATTAAATTATTAATAAAATAATTAAGGAATAACAAATGGGGTCATTGCCAACAAATCTTAATAACGTTAACATCCCCCATATACATAACATACCCCTAGCAATGACCCCACAATAATAACAATAGATAACAATCTAAATAACATGTTAATACAGAAACTGGCAGCCCAATTTGACCACATTTCCACCAGGTTAAATTGTAGGGGTGTACCGAGACACCGCTACCCACCATATCCATTGTAGGGGTGTACCAAGACACCGCTACCCACCATATCCATTGTAGGGGTGTACCAAGACACCGCTACCCACCATATCCATTGTAGGGGTGTACCAAGACACTGCTACCCACCAGTTCCAGTGTAGGGTGTACCAAGACACCACCACACCCCCAGGTTCGGAGCCACCGACGGGCTCGAACCTACCAACCACGTGCAACACTGCCCAATACACACTAAACCTCAGGATGCCCACTTTCTCCTCCATCTACCCTCCGATTTAACCAGGCCATTCACCGCCGCTGTGAAAAAACAGGAAATCAACTAACCTAACCAAATACAGGGAGGGTGGGAGGGACAACTGACAGGTAAGCTTAGGTTCAGTTAAAATGGCCACTTCCTATAATGGCTGGTATAAATACTCCCCTTATGGCTCCGCCCTACCCAGCATGCTAGCTGTCACTAACTTCCTGTGGCTGCTATGCCTACCTCCTGGCTCTGTCAAGGCCTATTCCTCTTAGCTGCGCTGATCCATGGGCTACAAGATGGCAGGTCACAAAAGCAGATTTTATACACTTCTTGAATGATATGAACGGACACATATCTTTGGAACTGAACAACACCATTTTCACCTTCAAAATGATGCAAACTCACACCATTGAAGAGACAATGCTGGTAAATACAATCTTTGACCACACACATGTCTGCTATCATGTCTCTGTAAGACATTTCCAGGAACTCAGGAAGACAACTCAATTATAAATTCTGAAAGAACAATATATGATTCAAGGGTTTCCTAGAAAATGTCACAAACAGATTGACATGCCACATTACAGTACAATTTCAATCTCTGCTGTCTGATGCTACTCTGGCAGACCACCAACACCTGTCCTTCACATTAGTACAATTACACTATTTTAAGATGAAAGAAAAGATCATGACAGCGGCAAGGAATACAGCCCAAATGTTTCATAAAGTACAAGTTCAACCATGATTTAGCTCCAAGCACCATGCACAAAGGGAGATAACTCAAACCTTAACCACCTTTCTCTTATCTCCTCCACCACCTCCCATTCTTTTTCTTTTGTTTTGCCTTTATTTTTCATCCTACCTCTTTCGTTGACCTTCCTTCCTTTCTCTTTCGTTGACCTTCCTTCCTTTTTCTATTTCCCCTCCTTCAGTTTCCTTTTTGTTTTTCCATTTCCTGATGTGTACCTGCCTTACTGACTGTTGATATCAGCCAATCCTATCTTACATTCCATGCCACTAAAATGAATATGCGTGTTACTATACTTCAAGGGGATCAGTAATCAGACCAAGAGACATGGCCTCATTAGATGGGCGTTCTGGGTAAGATCTGATGTCTTCCTTTTACAGGACACCATGGGATAGCTAGCAAGGAGGCAATTGCCCACAAAACCACTTTTATTGGAGGACAGGCAAGAGAGTTGTGGGCTGCAGCCTCAAGCCATTCGCCTGAAAATTAACATAGTGAGAGGACAGTGAGGGTTTGTACATGGCCTGGTGGCACACAATCTTTTTTTCTTTATAAATTCTTTATTTTTAATTTGTCAATATTTGGTTTTAGCAAAAGTGAGAATTACAGAAGAAAGGGAAGTGGGTACATTTCAGGAAGAATACATTGTCAGTGATGTCAAAAATTGAAAAATATGTCACATGAGTGTACAGCATATTACATATGTGCAGGTAATTCAGACATCAGGGTCTATCAAAGGTACATATGGTGTCAAGTACACCTGCGTATATTGATTACACTGATGGATCATGCAGGTGTGGTATTTTCCTTAACGTAAAGGGATAAGTAGAATACATGAACCAGGGAGGGGGGAATACATAGGAAAGAGGAGGAGGAAGTTTCCCTTCCTCATTAGGGGTGACACACAATCTTAACCCCTTAAGGACACAACTTCTGGAATAAAAGGGAATCGTGACGGAATATTTCCGTCATGTGTCCTTAAGTGGCTAATGTTCTCCAGACCTGTATTGGTCCACAGAGATACTTCCCATGGACTGCGCTATCTGGGGCTGACCAGGCCACTAGCTACATTGAGTGTGTATGATGACCCTGAAGGTGATGAAAACAGAGTCCGCATCTCTTAGGCACGTACAGATCTCGGTGAATGTTCCTTCCTACTGTTCACGTCATACTGATGGAGATCGCAGGGATGTATGATGGCACTGCTTGCAACTCCAGCTTCCTCCATATTCCAGATCTTCACACAGTGCATGCTTCATGTGAGTAGGAACATCCACATCCAGATTTGTGACTTTAGTGCACTAATAAGACCATTTATTAGTATTTCCCTCGCAGGCCAAAAGTTGCCAACACATCCTCAGAAGGATACCTAATTAACCAAACAAAAACATTTTCTCCTCTGAAATCAAAGACCTAATTAATGTTTCATGGCTTCACCAACCTTAAGGGCAGTTGCATGGCTAATAGTATTGAAGAGATCTAACCCACGACTGACACAAGAAGTATATACGGGCCCTTAGATTTGGTGGACCTCGGACGGCCACCGAATAAAAATAAGTGTCAACCTGTTTGAAAACAATTTGATTCCTTACTGAGGGATAGCACCCGTGAACTATAGTGTTT